GGACATGTGTGGCTCAGTGATTCCCAGATTTCTTTCCAGTCTCTATACAAGAAAGTGTGGGCACACACACACACACACGCACACACACACACACATGGTTGTGAGGGTCTGAGGATAACCAAGAGGGCATGAGAGTGGTGGTATAGCCTAAGCTCACCTGCTATGGGCTACTGTGTCACTTCCATGTTCCTTGAAAACAATTGCCCGGGGCGACTGGGCCAAGCACTGACCCAGTGCCTGGACATCAGGAAAGGCCCCTACTCAAGGCTTTCCTGAGGCCTGAGGGTCTCCATATTGGTACACAGAAACTCATGGCTCCGAGCTTAACTGTCACCACTCAAGTTAGCCAACTGGGCCTGTACTGGACCATTGGTGCCTGGCTACCAGGATTCCAATTTCTGTTTGCAAAGGAAGTGACCTCACTTCCGTGGGGCTCCTTTCCCTGAAGTAATTCCTCTCAAAATAGGAGCCCTATCTAATAGGCTTCCTTCTCCCTGTGCCACATGCACCATTGGATACAGGTATACCAACATACCCTAGCTCAGGTTTTAATAAAACCCTGGATAGAGCCAGCCTCCCAGGTATGGGGAGACAAGAGATGGGTTCAGACCATCCTCTCCTTTTGGCTGTGTGTGTGTGTGATCCTGAAGAAGTCATTGAAACTTGTAGGGTCTCCCCATGTTGCCAAAATGTTTCTGAGGGACCATTCTAGCATCTGCTTGCCAGGTAGTCATCTGGTGTGTGGGTCCATACATATCTATATTACCTGTGAAATGGTAGAGGCACAGGGTGATCATTAACAAACACACAGATACCATAGTCACAGAGAGGGGAGGGACAAAGGATGACACACAACTCTATCTAGATCTGAGTCCCAGAGTGAGATAGGGAAAGACCCTCTCCTCATGGTGGTGTCCCACTCTGCACCAGTGGAAGGTTGATGTGACTGATTTTCAGAGACTCTCCCTCTGTCATAGACCTTCCAGTGGCTTCTGCTGAGCTTTATACATGCCTCAAATGCCTCTTCTTAATGTAGGAGGTCTTCCTGCTGTGGGAGCTCCTGAGAAGCACAGTGTCCTGGAACCCAAGGCCTGTAGTCCCCTGCTCTCTAGGTGGATACAAACCTGCATCTGGGTTCTAACAGACAGAAATTAGTGTGATCAAGGGAAATCACTCCAAAGGTTGAGTTATGGGAAGTGTCCTTTCTGGCTGGCTCATTCTCACCTGCTTTCCTTTGGTCTGTCTCATTCTTCTTGTAGAAAATGAAGCTGGAACATCAGGAGCAGCTAAGTGGACAGCCCTAGGGGCATCCATATCCGAGTTTCTTGACCAACAGAGAATATGAAGTATCAAGGCTCAGTTACACTGGATTCTGCCAATAAGATGGAATGGTCTCAGAGGCAGGCATATCCTTTTGGATGTGCCTTCTGAAGGCCAGAGCCCCTGGCTCCTGATAGACCTAGATATACAGGCAGCAGCTGAGCTGGTCTGGATCCCATTGCACAGAAACTGTGACATCATCGCTCTCTGTGGCTATCAACAGTGGGATGCTGACCTGCAGCACTGGACAACTAGTGTGGTGACTCAGCCCTTGGTCTCCCTTTTCGTCCTATCCTGGCCCAGTCCCTCTAAAGCCACACTGGCCTCCTTTCCAATTTCCCTGAATCACCTCAGCAGGTGAAGCTGAATGCTGAGAGCTGCAGTTATGGGTTTGAGCTGCTGAGTGCACCAAATACTTCACATGAATTAGATGTACCAAGCATCTTTTAGAAGAGGAAGCTTTTCATCTTTAGCAAATGACTAATAAATAACAATTTTATTACAATGGAAAAAATTAGCATCACAAAAAATGTATCAGAGAATTAGGTGAGGTGAAGGACAGCTGTGACCAGGAGCTGGCATTGGGTCATGCTTAGAAGATCACAATGTGGGAGTTGCCATAGGAGTTTCTAGAATTATGGTATTGTGAATCCTTCCAGAAGAAGTGGATTGGAGGTTAAGAAGCTGCCCATGCTGGTACCCACATCTGTGCAGAGCCACTTCTGCCCAATGGCTGTCAGTTGCCAGTAGCTGCTGCAGGTCTGCAGAGCAAGTTGTTTGGGGCTTTGCTAAATTACTGAGGCTGCCTTTGACTTAGCTTCCTGAGTCACTGGGACTACAGGTGAATGCCAACACACCAGATCAAAATTAAAAAATAAAAAATAAAAAAAAAAACAACCTTTTCCAAAAGGATTAGGGGATGCAACTCAGGTGTTAAGTGCTACTGGGTTTAATCTCCAATACCAAAAATAAAACAAAAAAAATCTTCTTTAATTTGATGCAGTTCCATGAACAACCTCATATGCATTATTAATAGTTTTATCTCCAATTTTTAGCCACCCCTGTCACCCAAGCTCATCCATACCCAGAATCTGACTCAGAAATGAACAGACTTCTAGTTGAAAAGATTAAAGATTTAAGGCCAGCAGTTGAGATGGTTCATTTTCTGAGAGACCACAGCCAAAATAAATAAAAGTGACATCAAATTTACCTCAGCTAGGTAGAACCCAAAAGAAAGAAAGGAAAGCTTCAGTTTAGAAGCAGCACAGTACTAGCCTGTTTCTACAAAGATGCCATTACCCAGGATTCAGATCCTAAGGGTCACATGCATTACCTTTAACATTGAAGCTTTTGTGGTTTCGAATGTGATGGTTTTGTAATGACAGCCACTCTTGAGGCTGAGGCAGGAGTAATGCAAGTTTGAGTCTAGCCTGGGGAAATTAGGGAGTTCCTGTCTCCAAAACTTCAAAATGCCTTGGAAGCAGCCCATAGGTAGAGCTCCCCAGCTTCAACCCCACTCCCTCTTAAAAGGAAGGAAGGAAGATTAAACAACAACAACAACAATGATGCTCTGGGGGAACCACATGAACAATCACAATGAAACACTAATGAATAATTTCTTAGCAATGATACTTTTACTTTTCTTAAGTTTAAATTCATTAGAAAGGAAAACCCATTCTACATTGTTCAGCATAACTTGGGCTGCGTATCTATCTGATGTGGGCAAAAAGTTATGAACGCTAAATCAAACAGATGTTGTCTGCAATATGAAGGCCACTGTTTGAAATACATCTTCCTGTAACACTGGTATTTTGAATGTTTTCGAGTGGGATTTCTTTCATGAAGACATCAGTGGAATCAAGTTGAATCAGCCATCTACCTACATACACACTTATTTACACATGCATCAGTCATCAGACTCAAATGGAGACAGTTTTGCTCAAAAGGAATATTTTACTATAATAGTGCAATCTGAAGTAGTTTTCATGGCTGAAAGAGAAGAGTATGATAAGGCACAAAGATAAAAAATGTGAGTTTGGGGTATAACATGGGAGCCTTTTCAGTAGTTCTGCTCATTGTTCAATCTCATTATCTATCTATTTATTTACTTATTTATTGTGGTGCTGCCTATTGAATCTCATGGGTGCTAAGCAAAAGCAATTCCACTGAGTCCACCAGCTCCTTCTTTCTTCTTTCCTTCCTTCCCTTTTTTCTTCTTTTGTTTGGTAGTGGGGATTGTTTAAATAAACAAATTAAATTAAATAAATAAGTAGATTTCTTCCCCTGAAAAATTTTCCATCCTCTACACTTATAGGGACATACACTGTCAGTCCTGAAAGTAGGGCTATTTCATGTACCTGGCAGGCTGATGAGGAATAAATGCTCTCAGATTATTTTTGAAAATTAATATAGAATTTTAATATGCATAACTATGTTTTAATAGTTTGAATCCTCATGTTTTAATGTGCAGTAACATTATGGTGCTAATCACTGAGCATTGGTTATATACAAGATTACAATTATTATCCTGGTTTGTCTTAAACAGGCTTGGTTTTTGCCTTTTATCTTGGCATAATTATTAATAGTGCTTCCTTTCACTTTCAAAAATCCCCTTTTGGTTGACATATTATGTGCTCACTTAATTTTTGTATATTGTTTCTGATTTTTCCCTATTATGAACAGCACTTTACTAAATATTCTTCCAGCCAAGTCTTTGTGTGGAATTTTTATATGACTTGGTCAAAGAATGTTTTACATTTTAGGTTTTTTTATATATGTTGCTTTTCCTTTCAGAAAGATTATATAAATGTATGCCTCCACCGGAAATTATCAGAGAGTCATTTTCCAAAACTTTAACAAACTGGGTAGTGCTATTAATTTGTGTCAAATGGATAATTGTCCTCTAAGAGGAGGGGGTGAGTCCTTTGTGGGGGTCACCAGAGATATGTACATAATTAATTACCCTCAGCTAGCTGCCAGGAGCAACTGCTAACCATGGGGAACTATTGCACATATATTTTCCTATTTTTATTTTTATTTTTTTTTGTGGCTCTGGGGATCAAACCTGGGGCCTCTGACATGCTAATAAGCATTGTACCACTGCTCTATATTCCCAGGTCTTTTGAAACTTTTTTTATTTTTTAGTCAAGTTCTCAATAAATGCCAAAGATGGCCTTGAACTTGTGATCCTCCTGCCTCAGTTTCCCGAGTAGCTGGCATTATAGATGGGAGACTCAGTGCTGAACCAAGATGTTTTTTGTTTTGTTGTTTAAAACTGAAACTTGCTGACTGGTGGTGCATGCCTGTAATCCCAGCAGCTTGGGAGGCTGAGGCAGGAGGATCATTGAGTTCAAAGTCAGCTTCAGCAATTAGTGAGGCCCTAAGCAACTCAGCAAGACCCTGTCTCTAACTAAAATACAAAAAAGGGCTGGGGGTGCTGGGTTTGTGGCTCAGTGGTTGAGTGCACACCTAGCACATGAGAGGCCCTGGGTTCGATCCTCAGCACCACATATAAATAAACAAAATAAAGGTATTGTGTCCAACTACAACTAAAAACTAAATATTAAAAAGGGGGGGCTGGGGATGTGACTCAGTAGTTAGTGCCCCTGGGCTCAGTTTCCAGTACCAAAAACAAACACCACCCTCCCAAACCCAAAGTACAACAACAACAAAAACTGCAACAAGTAGTTTATTGATTTTACAAGGGAACAGTTGTACACATCAGTAAATGACTCAATAAGAGTAAAAATAAAATGAGACTATCAAAATTTATAGAATACTCAAATTAAGTTACAAAGTCCAATGACCATAAATCTCATTTTGAGTTCTTTGACAAAACCAGGAATTATCACTCAAAATAGCAATATTTATCTGCTAATACAAGAAATAAAAATTCTTATTATTACTGTGATATTGCTAAACTTTTCAAAGATAGGAACTATCATGAAGTTTTCACATTTAATTTGAATATTGCTATAAAAGCTATGGTTCAAACAAAAAAAACATACCAAGAACAGCTCGGTCCCAAAGAGAGAGAAGAAAATAGAATGAATCAGCATGGAGCTAACAGAATTATCTACACAGTCACTAAGGTCAGTTCTGAAACTGTCCCATAAAGGCCTCAGAAGACTTACTTGGCCTGCTAGAGGGAAGCTGTGGCATGAAAGCCTATGTAAATCCTTCCAATAAATCGCTGCCTCAAACTGTATATCAGTGAGGGGCTGGGGCTGAGGCTCAGCAGTAGAGTACTTGCCCATCAGTGCAAGGCCCTGGGTTCGATCCTCAGCACCACATAAAAATAAATAAATAAAATAAAGGTATTGACAACTACAACTAAAAAAAAAAAAAAAACCAAATAAATAAGTATTTAAAAAAATTTATGGCAGTGAGTTCCTTCTTAGCTTCTTCAAGGGCTAATATGAGATTTTCCTGGATATCTGATACTATAAGGGCTCCACCCAGGTGGCCACTACTTTGCCATCTTTGAGGGTAGTGTCTGCCTCGGACAGTCTCAAAAAATGTTATCTATCTGCACACCCTTGGTGTAGGTTCCAGGATAGCCTGTACTTGCCAAGACAGATATGGTGTGGCTTTCTAGCCAAAAGGGTAGAGAGATGCACAGCAGACCCTCTAAGGTTTTAAGAAATGAGAGGAAGATGGGTGTGATGTTGCACCCCTGTAATCCCAGTGGCTCCAGGAGGCTGAGACAGGAAGATCCCAAGTTCAAACCCAGCCTCAGCAATTTAGCAAGGACCTAAGAAAGTTAGGGAGACCCTGTCTCAAAATGAAAAATAATAAAGGGCAGGGGATGTTGCTCAGTGGTTAAGTGCCCTGGGCTAATTAACTGGTACCAAAAACAAACAAACAAACAAAAAAAGTGAGAGGATTATTTGGCACTCTGGCTCCCCAACACAACAATTGAACTTCAGAACTTTGGGACTTAAGCTGATGTAATTCTGTACTTCAATCAATAAAAATCTAAGATTTGGGGGTGTAGCTCAATGGTGAGCACTTAAGTGTCCACCAATGTACAAAGCCCTAGGTACAATCTCCCTCATTGCAAAACAAAACAATAAAAATCGAATGCCTATAGTGTATGTGTGATATACGACTACATGCAAAACGAGCAGTAAATCAAATTGTTTTTGTGCCCCTGGCTGCCACATGAAAGAGTGACAGGACCCTCAGTTACTATGGAAACACAAATAGAACTGACAGTCAATATGGTCCTTCTTACTTCATTGCAACTTAGAAGTTTTATGTATGGAAGCTTTTTTATTTCTTGAGTCTTTTGCTGGGCTTTTGCTCAGACAATTCTTTCATGTACTTCTTCCTCTTTTTAAAAAACCATTGTTGTATCTGAAAAAAATGAGGCAGGTGGGGTGATTAGTACAGGAATCAAGATGCTGGTTATATGCATAATAGTGCTACAGAAGTGACTTTGTCTGTGAAGAAATAGGTTGTTATACCTGTTTATCTGTCATGCTGAATTCAAATGAGAGTGACAGCCTGTCTTGTACTGTGGGGCACGCGCTTAATTTAAACTTTGCCCAAAGAGTGTCCATGAGGGATTTGCTGACTGGTCTCTTCCTGGGACACAGCTCCTCATGTTCCTCTTCATTTTTCAGGTTGTCTTTTAGCTTCTCTTCTTCTTCTTCTCCTTCTCCTTCTCCTTCTGCTTTGGCTTCTTCTCTCCACTTGCGCGCCTCCTTTCCTTCATCTTCACGAGGACACTCGGGTGAATGCTCTGGACTTTGGCTCCATGGCATAGCTGGTTCTTTGTGAGTGACAAGATCTGTGAATAAAACCAACAGACACATGAGAATGTATTTGATTTTTGTATCAATGTTGTATATTGGTGGAAAGCAGAGAGGAAAGGGAAAGTCAATTTTCAAAATATTTTGAAAATATGGAATATTTTCATAAAAGTTACAAATTAAAATTTATTCACTTATGTTTTATTTATTCTTCACCCTCTCCTTTTTTTGTTTGTGAGTTTGTGTGTGTGTGTGTGTGTGTTTTGTATTACTAGGGGTCTAACCTAGAGCCCTGTGTATGCTAGACAAACACTCCACCACCGAGCTATCCCCCCAGCACACCTCCTTTTTAAAAATTTCCACTTTGAGGCAGGGTTTCATTGTTGCCCAGGCTAGCCTGGACCTTGCTATGCTCCTGCCTCAGCCTTCCAAGTAGCTGGAACAATAGGCACACCTCCTCACCCAGATCTTTCTTTTCTGGAGATTGAACCCAGGGAGATTTTACTATGGGCTACATGCCTGGTCTTTTTTATTTTTTAGTAAGACAGGGTCTTACCTAAGTTGCTGAGTAAATTGCTGAATATGGCCTCAAATGTGATCCTCCTGCCTCAGCCTCCTGAACCAGTGGGTTACAGGCATGCACCACCACACCTGGCAGTTGTTGGATTTTTAACTAATGTTCATAATGGAACAATACATAAGTATTTTATACTTATTCTATTAAATAGGTGTTATGCAAACTACAAAATGTTTTAGTATTATCTCCTGGATGCAAAAGTTTTGAATAACATGACTGAATAAGTATGGAAGGAGAGTTGAATGACATCCACATAACTCTAACAGTGGTTATAAAATGGGAGTGAAATGAAATGAAATGGAAGTGACTGAGGGACACTTTTGCACTGTACACCAGACACTTCTGTATTGTTTGACCCACATGCAATGTCAGTGCATTTGTTTTTAGGTATATTAAGGAAAACGATCACATCAATGAGCCCCATACAATACCTGAATGTGGAGAAGCACTGCAGTGCTTTAGGAAGCCTTTTTTAATTGTCTTTGTGCTGTGGAGATGTTGCAGGCAGTCCATATATTGTGCATCTTGAGCTAAAAATTGTAGAACTGAACTCAGGGTCTCTTCAAAGCTCATGCTGTTAACAACATCCTCCAAAGGCAGATTTACATTTTGGTTCAGGCTAATCCAATTATTCTGTGAACTGGATATGCCTGTGTTATCTAAAATGAGAGTAAAGAATTTCTATGAGTTGGCTTTATTATTATTATTAACGGTATTATTATTCTGGGTATTGAACCCACTCCCTTCCACATGCTAGGTGAGTGCTGTACACTCCCAATGACATATGCTTGCAGTCCTTTTAAAAAAAATGTTTATATTCATTTATGTTTGGCAGTACTAGCAATTGAACCCAGAGATGTTCTACCACTGACCTAATTCCCAGCCCCTGCCCCATGTATTTTTTTTTTTTAATTTTGAGACAGGTTCTTTGTAAGTTGCACAGGCTAGCCTTAAATTTTCAATCTCCTGGTCTCAGCCTCCTGAAACAATGGAATTACAGGCATGTGCCACCACATCTGGCATCTTCTCTTTTTTTTCTTTTCTTTTATCACCATTTTGCCATTTTGATATAAAAGATTTGTAATAAAACCTGGAAAAATAATCAACTTGGGAGGCTGAAACAGGAGGACCACAAGTTGGAGGCCAGCCTCAACAATTCGGTAAGAACCTGTCTGGAAAAACAAAAATAATAATGAAGATGTAGTTAAGTGTAAAGCACTGCTGGATTCCCCAGTACTAAAAGACAAATACATAAATAAATAAGTAAATAAATAAAATAAATAAGTAGATATGTGGATGTAGCTCAGGGATAAATATCCCCTGGGTTTTTATTTTTGAGGGGGTACCAGGAATTGAACTCAGGAGCACTCAACCACTGAGCTACATCCTCAGCCCTATTTTGTATTCATTTTATTTTAAAAAAATATTTATTTTTTAGTTGTAGTTGGACACAATATCTTTATTTTGTTTATTTTTTTTTAATGTTCTGTGCAGGATTGAACACAGGGCCTCACACATGCTAGGTGAGCACTCTTCCACTAAGCCACAATCCCAGTCCCCCATTTGTATTTATTTAGAGACAGGGTCTTAGAGTTGCTTAGTGCCTCACTTTTTGCTGAGGCTGGCTTTGAACTCGTGATCCTCCTGCCTCAGCCTCCCAAGCCCCTGGGATTACAGATTCTTTTTTTTTTACTTACTCCAGCCTTTTGGTTTTATGAGGTTGTCATCAACTTCCAGCCCTTGCTGATAGTCATTCATGATGTTTTGGATCTTCTCTCCCAGAAGCTGATTGTTTTAGAGATAAAAATATTCTTAATACCAGAAGTCTTTACCTAAGAAAAGTCCTAAAAGAGATGAAAAGTAAAGTAAATAAGTAAATTATAACTTTCCAAAACATCTGTATTTGATAAAAATGAAAATCGTTGAATTTACTGAATTCCCAATTTGAAGTTCATTTCTCTAATTCTGTTGAAAATGAATTTTCTTGTGGTTGCTGTTGGTGCTGGGACCAGGGCTTTACACACAGGAAACCTGTGCACTACCACTGCAAAAAAATAACCTGTCCAGCCCCTGTGTGTTATGCCTTAATTATTTATTCATTCACATGTTCTGTTACATAGTGTATATTTGAATAATCGGTAGTTCTTATTTTGAGAATTCCATGGTCAAAGTTCTATCAGGTTGGAAAATGCACATGCACATCATAGAGTCAGGTTTTTTGGTTGTTGTTTGTTTGGTTGGTTGGTACTGGGGATTGAACCCAGGGGTACTATATTATTGAGCTACATCCTTAGCCTTTATTATTTTGAAAAAGGATTTGAGTTCTTGAGGTTGGCCTTGAACGTGGGCTCCTCTTGCCTCAGCCTCCCAAATCATTGAGATTAAGGCCTGTGCCACTGGCCCTAGCCTTTTTAATTTTTTTAAAATTTTGAGACAGGGTGTCACTAAATTACCATAATTGAGATTCAACTTGTAATCCTCCTGCCTCAGCCTCCCATGTAACTGGTATTACTGTGTCGGGCTATCTTTCTTATTACAATTTACATGTTGAAGCCTGGTGCAAGCCTGAGCAACATAGTGAGACCCCATCTCAAAAAAAAAAAAAAAACAATGAATAAAAGGGTTGGGGGCATTGCTCAGTGGTAAAACATGCTGGGTTCAATCTTCAATACAAAAAACAAACGTTTTTGCATGGTGACATTTCTCTTTCTGTGGAACTTTAAAAAAACCCAATATATTATAGTCATTTTGATCAGCAAACTCTTGTTGTTAATCCCACACCAGCTAAGTGAATAGAGAGTGTCACAGAATCAGTCTGAGAGACTGACTTTTGTGTGTGACATCTGACATCTGATTTCAGTTTGTTAGTGCCTAAAAGAGAGACACAATTGGATCTGTCCATGGTAGCCAAATGCACACAATTCCTTGAGGGTAGCGTCTTTGCTGGCACGTGGATCAGGTAAACCAAGTGTGCAATCATCTGAAAGGAGCTGAATGGGGGCTGTCATCGGGCATGTCATTGCTGCCTACAGTGTCACAGGCCTTTCATTCCAGCAGCTCCTCTTCTTCTTCTTCTTCTTCTTCTTCTTCTTCTTCTTCTTCTTCTTCTTCTTCTTCTTCTTCTTCTTCTTTTTTTTTTTTTTTCTTTTTTGGTACTGGGGATTGAATCCAGGGGCACTTAATGGTTGAGCCACATCCTCAGCCCTTTTTATTTTTTATTTTGGGATAGGGTCTCCCTAAGTTGCTAAAGGCCTAACAAAGTTGTTAAGACTGGCCTCCAACTTGCAATCCTCGTACCTCAGCCTCCGGAGTTGCTGGGATTACAGGTGTGCACTACCACACCCAGCCCAGAAGTTCTCCTTGAAAGGGACACTGACTTGCATAAGCCTGGGTTCAGAGGAAGTTCCACAGGCCACCATGAATTCTGTAGGCGTAGGGATTGGATGGATAATAAATTTGCAATGGACCTGATATTTTCTAGGTTTGGCTTTCTGGAAAACAGTAGCTGTCTTCCAGGCTTTAAAAATATATATCCAGCTAGGTAGGTGCAGTAGCACATGCCTATAATCTAAGTGACTCAGGAGTATAAAGCAGGAGGATTGCAGGTAAAGGCCAGCCTGGGCAGCTTAGTGAGTCCTTGTCTCAAAAAGAAAAAGAAGAAGAAGGAGGAGGAGGAGGAGGAGGAGGGCTAGAAATGCTGTTTATTTGGAAAGCAGACTTGGTTTCAATCTCTAGTATCAGGAAAAAAGACACACACACACACACACACACACACACACTACATATATTTATTTATTTTTAAGGGTTAGCAATTTTAGGAATTTAGCATTTAGCTCTGTGGAAGAGCCCTTATCTAGTAGTACTCATGAGTCCCTGAATTCAATCTTTGGCACTGAAAAAAAAAAAAAATCAAGTGGTGTTGGGTGGCATGTATCTGTAACCCCAGCTACTCTGCAGTCTGTGGCAGCAGGATCACAAATTCAAGGCCAGCCTGGGCAACACAGGGAGGCCCCCTTTAAATAAAACAGACAAACAGATTTCTTTCCTTGGCAAAACCCATGGAAGTTGATACAATTTAACTACTCTCTTTAGAAATTGTTTTTACCCTGGGCACTAAGGGAGACAAATACTATCAGTCCTAAAAGGAAAGCTATTTACTATGCCTGGCAGGCATAGCTCAAGTTATGTACATTATCTCTAATTTTCCCCTATCATGAACAATACTTTAATAAATATTTTTGGTTAAATATACATTTTAAGTTTTTGATATATGTTGCTTTTCTTTCCAGAAAGATTATATAAATTTACACTCCTACCAGCAATTATAAGAGGGGTCATTTTCTAAAACCTCAACACACTGAGTAGTGCCATTAATTTTTAAGAATCTTTTCCAGTTTCATAAGTGAAATTGTGATTTACTGCTGTAATAGGAATTTATTTCACTGATACTGTGGGTAAGCATTTGGACAGATTAGTGTTCTTCCATTGCAAGCAACAAACAACAATTTCGTGTGAGTTAAATCAACAGGAATGCAGAGAAAGAAAATCAGAGACATTTAAAATATTTAATGTATTTCAGGTGATATTTTTGAAATTGCTTTTGATTATAATAGAAACTTCACTCTATGACTGACAAGTCTATTATTTGAAGAACATATAGGCATTCTTTTATATGGCTGGGGATGTGGTGTATTGGTTGCGCGCACCTGGATTCAATCCCTGGTACCAGAAATAAATAAACATAAAACAAACATCTTAGCTGGAAGCTGGGCATGGTTGCACATGCCTGTCATCCCAGCTACTTGGGAGGCTGAGACAGGAAAATCCCAAGCTCCAGCCCAGCCTCAGGAACTTGGTAAGGCCCTAAGCAACTTAGAGTCTTCCTTAAAATACGGGCTGGGGCTGGGGCTCAGTGGTAGAGCACTCACCTAGCATGTGTGAGGCACTGGGTTTGAGCCTCAGCACCACATAAAGATAAAAAAAGGTATTGTCCATCTACAACTAAACAATAAAGATATTTAAATAAATAAAAATAAAAAGGCCTGGGTATATGGCTCAGTGGTTAACCACTGAGATCGAGCTCTGGGTTCAGTTGGCACTGGGGTTGGCACTGGGGTTGGCAGGTACAACTCAGCTGGAGCAAATGAAAAGGAAAGGGCAACTCCTGTGCGAAACAGATTATCAGCAGCACATGCTGGTCCTCATCATCCTCTTAGAAGTACAGGCTAGGAAAGCCCAATGTTACCAGCTTGCATTCTGAAATTTGGGGGAATGTTTTCTCCTGGGGTACATTGGTAACTGGTGGGGAATGCCCCGTAGGTGGTAGGATTTGGTCTCCTAAAAAATCACAGAGTAGTAGACATCAATCACTGGGGCACAGGACTGAACATCGATGTGGAGGGTGCAGTGAGTGGAGCAGGGCTTCAGCCTGAGAGTGAAACACATGCAGACTTTGCCTAGAAGCCCTCCTGCTCCTCAATGTGGTGCACCTGCTCTTAAGTAAGAGAGTAGCAGCTGGGCACCCTGGCATGTGCCTGTAATCCTAGCTACTTGGGAGGCTGAGGTAGAAGAACTGCCGGCTTGAGGTCAGTTTGGACAACATATGGAGATCCTGTTGTTGTTGTTTTTTTCCTAAAAAGTGGCCACACATGTGGTGGCAAGTGCATACAAATCCCAGCAACCATGGAGGCTGAGGCAGGATTGAAGTTTCAGACCAGCCTCAGCCATTTAGCAAGAACCTCAGCAACTGAGAGACCCTATCTCAAAATTAAAAGGCCTGGGGATGTAGCTTAGTAGTAGAGCACACCTGGTTCAATCCCCAGTCACACAAAAAATTTAAATTAAATACATTTTTTTTTAAAAAAAAAAAAAGGCAGAGCATGGTGAGAAATGCCTGGAGTTGTGGCTCAGTGGTAGAGCACTCGCCTAGCATGTGCTAGGCACTGGGCTCAATCCTCAGCACCACATAAAAATACATAAATAAAACAAAGGTATTGTGTCCACCTACTACTAGAAAATATGCCTAACGAGTGCCAGGCCCTGGGTTCAATCCTCAGAACCACATAAAAATGAATAAATAAAATAAAGGTATTGTGTCCAGCTACAACTAAAAAATATGCCTAATGAGTGCCAGGCCCTGGATTCAATCCTCAGAACCACATAAAAATGAATAAATAAAATAAAGGTATTGTGTCCAGCTACAACTAAAAATTAAATATTAAAAAACAAAACAAAACAAAAAAACTCCTGCACAGCAAAAGAAACAATTAAGAATGTGAAGAGAGGGCTGGGGTTGTGGCTCAGTGGTAGAGTGCTTGCCTAGCACATGCATGAGGCACATAAAAATACTAAATAAAGGTATTGTGTCCATCTACAATTAAAAAAAAAAAAAGAATGTGAAGTGAGAACCCACAGAATGGGAGAAAATCTTTACTACCTACTCTTCTGATGGAGGCCTAAAATCTAGAATACATAAGAACTAAAAAAATCTTAACATCAAAAAACCAAATAACCCAATTAACAAATTGGAAAAGAGACGCTTCTCAAGAGAAGCTATGCCACTCCTCGGTTATTTATCTTGAAGAATTAAAGAGATCATCCTACTGTGATACATGCATACCCTTGTTTACAGTAGCACAATTCACAATAGCCAACCAAGGAACCAGCCTAAATGTCCATCAATGGATGAATGAATAAAGAAAATGTAGTTTAGCTGGGTGGGGGTATGCCTATAATCCTAGTGGCTCCAGAAGCTAAGGCAGGAGGTTTGCAAGTTCAAAGCCAGCCTTAGCAATTTAGCAAGGCTCTAAGGAACTTAGTGAGACTCTTTCTCAAAATAAAAAATAAAAAGAAAGGGCTGGGTATGCAGCTCAGTGGTAAAGCACCCCTGGTTCAATCCTCAGGCACCACCACCACCCTCCCCCCCTCCAAAAAGAAGGAAGAAGAAAACGTGGTATATATGCACATGGAATTTTACTCAGCCATAAAGAAAAATGAAATCATTTCTTTTATAGGAATATAAATGGAACTAGTGACCATTATGCTAACTAGTGACCATTATGCTAAGTGAAGTAAGCAAAACAGAAGGTAAAGGTTGAATGTTTTCTCTCATATGTGGAAGCTAGAGAGGAAAAAGGAAAAGTGTGTGTGTGGAGGGGCAAGGGGGTGGGCAGGGAATCTCATGAAAATCAAGGGAGAACAGCAGAGGAAAGGGACCAGAGGAGGCAGGTGGGAAGGGAGTAGGGAAGTGGTAGGGAGTGATATTGGCCAATTTTTTTTTTTTAATATTTTGTTCGTGTATGAACATGTAACAACAAATGCCATCATTATGTACAAGGATAAAAAATATGGGAAAAAAAGAGCTGGGGATGTAGCTTAGTCATAGAATGTCCCTAGATTAAATCCCCAGTAACCCTCCCCCCCACAAAAAAGTGTGTTCTATTTTATGTTATGTTATTTATTAATTTATTTTAACTCTGGATGGAGTCCAGGGGCGCTTTTGGCTTATTTTATATCTCAGTAAGTTACTTAGGGCCTCACCAAATTGCTGAAGCTGGCCTCAAACTTGTAATCCTCCTGCCTTGGCCTCCCAAGTCACTGGGATTGCAGGCTTGTGCCATCATGCCCAGCCTTGTTATGAATTTTAACATAAAAATTTCAAAGAGTGAGAACTTAATGTATTTGTGTTTGACACTGCTCAAAAGTTATCTGGAGTGGGTGCAGGAGGGTGCATGCTTTTAATCTCAGCCACTACAAAGGCTAAGATAGGAGGATCCTAAATTTGAGGCCAGTCTGGGCAACAAATGAGATGCTGTCTCAAAATAAAAAATGCAAAGGCTAAGGTATTAGGTCATTGGTAAAGCACTTTGCTTAGTTTGAAGAAGTCCTGTGTTCAATTACCATTATCATCAAAACAAAACATAACAAAAACTAGTCAAGGAATATGTCAGAAATACAGGCGATCATATTTGTTTTTTTGTGGTGTTGAGTGTTCAACTCAGGGCGTTGGGCATGTTAGACAAACCCTCTACCACTAAGTCACATGCCCCAATAGAAATATCAAGAATAAAGCAATAAGAGTGAAACTGGAGATCACCTCCATTGGATTCAGCAGTCACGGGTTACCATTGACCAAAAAAAAAAAAAATTCATAGTCAGGCACAGTGGCACATGCCTATAATCCCAGCTGCCTAGTAGGCTGAAGAAGGAGGATGGAAAGTTCAAGGCCAGCCCCAGCAATTTAGTGAGGCTCTAAGCAATTCAGCAAGAGCCTGTCTCAAAATAAAAAATAGAGATAAAAAGTGCTGGGGATGTCATTTGGTGGTTAAGTCCGCCTGGATTCAATTGCTGGTACCAAAGAAAAGCAAACAAAAATCCTATTATTTCTCAAAAAAATTCCAGGAAGTGTAGTTGCATGGGTGCATGCATGAAAGCTCAGCAGTTCAGGAAGCTAAGGAAGGAGGGTCAGGTTTAAGACCAGCCTTGACAATTTAGCAAGACACGCCCTCAAATTAAAACAAGAACAAAAAACAAGCTGGGCTTGGTGGCCTATGCCTATAATCCCAGCAGCTCAAGAGGCTGAGGTAGGAGGATCATGAGTTCAAAGCCAGCCTCAGCAATTTAGTGAAGTGCTAAGAAGTCAGTGAGATCCTATCTCTAAATAAAGTACAAAAAAGGGCTGAGGATGTGGCTCAGTGGTTGAGAGTCACTGAGTTCAATCCCCCAGTATCCAAAAAACAAACAAACAAAAAAAGAACACCCCCAAAATAACAAGAGTTGATGATATAGAGCATCCCTGGGTTCCATCCCCAGTACTGCAAACAAAACACAATAAAAGAGAAAGAAATTTTCAAAAAGTGATAAAATAATAGAATAGCCATTTATTTCTTTCTGTTTATTTATTTATTTTTCCCTGCAGTACCAGGTAGTGAACCCACGTATGCTCTACCACTGTGTTTTTCTATCCAGTTTTTATTTTTTATTTTTTGGTGGTGCTGGGGATTGAACCCAGGGCTTTGTGCATGCGAGGCAAGCACTCTACCAACTGAGTTATATCCTCAGCCCTCTATCCGGTTTTTAATTTTTAATTTTGAGGTAGGGTCTCACCAAATTGCCCAGACCTGCTTCAAATTTGTTATCCTCCTGCCTTAGCCTCCCAAGCAACTGGGAGTATAGGTGTGTGTTGCAGTGATCAGTTCACTGGAGCTATTTCTGAATCACATTTTTTCTTTTATAAAATATCAACAAGGAAAACCTTGAATTTTTGTTAATAGGCATAAATTTGTAAACATGGTCTTTAAAAAATGAGTATAAGTTTTGAGAGAAAGAGACTATGCTCATCAGATTTGTATTTTAGGGAAAAACTCCTAAGGAGTACAGGGAGAATAAAATTGAGAACAAGACTGACAGTGACTAAACAGAACTATTGTATTATCCAGTTGTTGATAATAACAACACCACAGACTAAGTTACAAAGAAGAAAGGTTGTTTTGACTCACAGTTCTGGAGGTCTGAGGTCCAAGTTAAAGGGTGGCTTATGGTGATGGTCTTCTTTCTGGCAGAGTCCCCAAGTGATATGGAACACCCAGTGTTAAGACACAGGAGCGCAAGAGCTTATGCCTCTTCTGGTCTCTCTCCCTCTTCTTATAAACCATCATAATTCAATCAGGAAAGCCCCGCCCTAATAACTTGATCTAATCTTCATAACCTTGTGAAAGTCCCACCTCCAAACCCATGATCAGATTAGTAACTGTGGTGCATACCTGTAAATCCCATCATCTTGGGAGGCTGAGGCAGAAGGATCTTAACAGTGAGGCGCTAAGCAACTCAGTGAGACCCTGTCTCTAAATAAAATACAAAATAGGGCTGGGTATGTAGCTCAGTGGTAGAGTGCCCCTGAGTTTAATTCCCGGTACCAAAAGAAATAAGTAAATAATAAATAAATAAATTCCAGATTAGTTCCATCCTTTTAATACTTCAATAGGGATTAAATTTAAATACATGAAGCCTTTGGGGGACATTCAAACCATAGCCAAGATGAGGCCAGGATGTATCAGCTGTCACAGTAAGTGTGAATAGAAAGCCATCCAGATCTAAAGAATGGCAGTGAATGAGGACCAGGAAGGGAAGAGGCATGGAAAAATGTCTGAATGCAAAGTCGACACAACACAGTGATTAACAGAACATGGCACAAGAAAAACAGAGGCTGAGTAAAAATTATAAAGAATGGCTTTGGGCACAGGGTGAAGCTCAGTGGCAGAGAGTTTGCCTATCTTGCTTAAGGCCTTGGGTCCAAAGTTTAATCCCTGCCCCCTCCCATAAAAAGGGTTGTCTGTGAGTGTAGGTTTTTCAGTAAAAGGTGTGAATGCTATTTTTTTTCCCCCCTGAACTACTGGGAATTGAACCCAGGGTCTTGCAAATGCTGGATAAGCACTTTACCACTGAGCTATATCCCCAGTTCCTCTTACATTTTCATTTTGAGACAGGGTCTCTCATTAAGTTGCCCAGGCTTTCACTGAACTTTCCATCCTCCTGCCTCAGACACCCAAGGAGCTAGGATTACAGGCGGGTGCCTGTAATAAAGAAATAGGCCAAAGACGTAATTCAAGGGAACCCTACACTTAGTAATTGGGCCAAATGATATGAGCTAATGAAGACATTGGACAGAATAGTCTCAAAGAGTTGGGAACACAGGGGCAATTTTTTTTTTTTTATGCTTGAATATAACAGCTACACAAGATAAGAGGAAGGTGAGTTGCATATATGTATATGTTAAGACTCTTATAACCAAATCATTTCTCCTCTAAACCTTCTTGCGTTGTCTCACATGTGAGCTTTTGGGGGACACCTGTAAGGATGGCCTTAGGCTTTAGCCTAAGCAACTCCATTTTAAAAACCTGCAGCCTCTCCAGGCACAAGCCTACAGAGCCCTCCAATACGTCTTCAGGCATAGCATGGTAAACAAGTCATAAAAAAAAGCCTCTTGGTGGGGCTGGGGATGTGGCTCAAGCGGTAGCGCGCTCGCCTGGCATGCGTGCGGCCCAGGTTCCATCCTCAGCACCACATTCAAACAAAGATGTTGTGTCTGCCAATAACTAAAATAAATAAATAAATATTTAAAAATTCTCTCTCTCTCTCTCTCTCTCTCTCTCTCTCTAAAAAAAAAAAAAACCTCTTGGTATAAACAAGTCACTTTCTACAACCCTGACAACAGTCAGAGTGAAGTCACTTAGTATAAACATGTCACTTGCCTTAACCATGATAAGAGTCAGAGTGTAAAATCAGGGCAGAAGCCACCAAACCTTATGACCTGGCTCTGAAATGTGAAACGTCTTTCTTAGTGAAGAAACCTGATTATAACAGCTGATAGGGACCCAAAGGGCAAACAGAACTTCCAAAATTTAGTATAAATGATAGAACAAAAGGACAGTCAGCCAGCCAGCCAGCCGATTCTGATGCACACTTGCTGGAGAGCCTGATGAGGACCTGGACTGACATCCTAACTCTTATCATCTGCCTGATCCTCTGTATTGTTCTCACCACCTTCAAACTCTACAGCAGCATCTTGACCCTGGTGAGAACTGTGACTTCTCCTTATGACCGTCTCTTTAACCAGCCTTCAAATCCACTCCAGGAGAAGACTCCACCAGTTGCTGATCTAATTGCTGTGGTTTGAGTGAGTGTGTGTCTGCTGGGCTTAAGGCCTAAGACTTAGGACTTGAGATCTGGCACCTGAACTTAGCATGCAGAGGGAATGTCTGTAATAAATCTGTCATGATTAAATGTGTTTGCAGTACTTAGAATTAACTTAGAATTGTTTACTTTGAATTGATTATGTCAATTGCAGTGCCCAGCATTAAGGATTGTCATTTTCTTGATTAAGTAACTATTTAGTGAAATTGTATTGAGTGATTTTGAGTGAATAAAAGCATTGATAAGGGCTCAAGTGCATGGACATTCTTTATTTTTCCCTTCAACCTCTTAAGTTGCACCTTTGCCCAATGCAACAACACCTCACATCCAAACCATAACACTAGGCACTTTATATAAAATAATATAAAACATTTATATAAAATAATATAAACCTTTCTAACACAGAACACAGGCACTGGGCCCAGCCAGGACTGGGAGAAGGTGCCCGCTGTCATACCCAGGCCAGAAGTTCCTAAACAATGCCAAGCCGGCCCCCCCCCCCACAGAGGAAGTCATTGGTAACATGGCATGTATATAGCAAGGTTGGAAAATTACAAATCCTAAATAATTGTTTTTTAAAAAATGTTGCCTCCTCCTCCCCCAGTAGCTTCTGTTGAAATCATTGCTGCAGTCAACACACAATTCGTGAGCCTGTTTTCTTCAGCCTGCCCCAGTGTTATGAGAGTCTTAACCAATCAGAGAATTAATACCTAATTGGATTAACTGAGTGGGTAACTGGAGATAGGTGGGTTATGCCTGGATGAAATGGTTAATTTGGAGTGTGACCATGGGGTATATATTTTGTTTCTGGAGAGTGATGTGAGCTGTTTCTCTCTGCCATACTCTCTAGTCATGATGTTCTGCCTCACCTCTGACCCTGGAGGAATGGAGCCATCTGTCTACCTCTGAAACCCTGAGCTCTCAAATAAATTTTCCCCTCTCTACTCTTGTGCTTTTTTTTGGTGGGGAGCACACTGTGAGGGTTATTGGGGCACTCAACCATTGAGCCACATCCCCAGCCCTAAGTTTGTATTTTATTTAGAGACAGGGTCTCATTGGGTTGTTTAGCATTTGTCTCGCCATTGCTGAGGCTGGCTTTTGATAGACCCAACCTGATCTTTTATTAAAATTGGGAGCCATCTTGCCACAAAGCCATGAAAAGATAATTTCGGCTTTACTATAAATTACTGCAAATTCTGAACCTGCTTGGAATGCCTGCCCGTGCCTTGAACTCACCCATACCTGACTCTCTGACCAGATAGCAGCCCCCTCTGAAACTTTAGTGACACCTCATAAATATTGGCCTTCCCTGGCCAGACAACGACCCTCTTTGAGGCTCTAATGGTCCTCATAAATTCTGATGTTGGGGCCAGCAAAAAAAAAAAAAAGTAAACTACCATTAGTGTGATGCTTGTCAGAGTTCTGTTATCTGTAACCCCCCCTTTGTGTAACTTTCTGGGCTATAAAGCTGGGCTGTAGGAAAGGTGGGGTGCTGTCTTGTTCCCGCCGTTTTGGGAGGGAGAAGGAGCCCGGCCGGTCGAAATAATAAGCTTGCTTTAATTTGATTTTAATTGGAGTCAGTGGTCTTTTCTTGCATCCTGGTCTAACACTTTGAACTTGAGATATTCCTGTCTCAGTCTCCCCAACCTCTAGAATTACAGGCATGGGCCAACACATCCAGATCTGGTTGGATCTTTAAGTCACAGCACCAAAAAAGCTGACTAAAACACCCAGGAATGGTAAGGGTTTAGAAAACCCTTTGTGGGGGAGGAGGGAGGGAGGTTTCAGAAAGGGTGGATCTTTGTCTAAAACATGTGGGTTTTCAACACTGCTATAAATATAGAAATGTCACCTGGAGTTATAAACAGTAAGACTTTGGGGTCTGGGGCTGGGGCTCAGCGGTAGCGCACTTGTCTGGCATGTGTGAGGCACTGGGTTCGATTCTAAGCACCACATATAAATAAATAAATAAAGGTCTAAAAACAAGTTAAAAAAAAAAAACCCAAAACAGTAAGACTTTCCGTTCTATAGGGGTGAGACCAGGTTGATTAGTCCCTTGGCAGGCTGGGGCAGGTGGGAGCCAGGGAGCCAGGGCAGCTGCATGGAGGTCAAGGGTGGTTGGATTATCCCTGGAGGCAACAAGTGCCTAGGGCTGTCTGCTAGGATGTGCCAGCCCCACACTTGGTTTCTTCGAGGCAGCAACTCCAGCTGAGGGTAGGAGAGGAAAGGAACAAGATCAGAGAAGGAAGGTGGGGAGTTCAGCCAGACCCCACAGGGCCTCCTCCAGACCCTGGAGGGTAGGGCTCAGGCTTCTTCACTGGATTTCTGACCACAGAGTAAATTACTAGGCAATAAATCCTAGACAGTGGAAAAAACAGGCAAATGGAGTCAGACCCAACTGGGTGTGAATTCAGTATCACCTATGTTATGTCAGAAAGGGAGGGGGCAAGTAGCTTGATTCATCTGGATGTCTGGTTCCTCATCTGCAAAATCAGAATAAAAGTAACTAGCTCAGAAATGTAATAAACTTTAAAATCCCATAGCTTCAGGATGTGGTTCTGAACCTGGTCTATTTCCAGAGATGAATTTTCTGTGTGATACATTAGCAAATTCTCAGTTTTTAAATTCATAGTGTTTAATGCAATTTAATTCGGTTAAAGGCACAAGACAACATTTGACAACCATAATTACATCAATTGACCTAATAATTAAATGCAAATAATAAGAATGCAGTCTTGGAAACCTGTTTTAATTGAACATTTGCCATTTTTTTTAAAGAGAGAGTGAGAGAGACAGAGAGAGAGAGAGAGAGAGAGAGAGAGAGAGAGAGAGAGAGAGAGAGAATTTTAATATTTATTTCTTAGTTTTCGGCAGACACAACATCTTTGTTTGTATGTGGTGCTGAGGATCGA